GGCGTACCGTCTACAAAATATTTACGAATAAATGCCTCATATACCTACATCCATGATCGATGAAGGTTTTGTGCCTTCTCGTGGACGCCTACTATGCATAGTGGTCGTCGGAGGTCGTTGCAGCATAGTCCATTGTGTCATGATTCTCGTCGGTCGATGGTGGTATGCGTGGTCCTCACCCTTGCCCTTACGCAATGCATCAACGAACAATTATGTATAGGAATAATCTTCGACGGCTCAAGCGACACACCTCACTTTGGGGCGGACTTTCGGTGACGTCTCAACCATGTCACCCTGTGCCATCAGACACAATCGACCGATAGAGGAGCACCGCTAACACAAGTAGCATCTGTAGAGATCATATTAGGGAATGACTATATCTAAAACTTCAGATCGATGCATAAAATGCCCCCTATGCGAAATCATACACCACTCGTTGAAGCACATCTATATGTCATCCTATTTTTCCACCCGTGGGCGCTCTCATATTCTTCTTCCCGCTGTCTTTTACAACAGACCGCTATCCTTATCCGGTTGTATTTTGCTGCAGACCGATATCTTTCTTCGGTTGTCTAGCCTTCGGTACAGGAAGACCATTTTTTTGGGGTGCACAATTCCTCCTCCTACTTATGTTGGTCATGCATTTTCTCACACAGAAATAACAACCATCATCACTTTTACTCGATAACAGACATTCGTAATTAAATATTCGAGGGAGGAGGTGGTGGTAGGGACGGCAGTTGGTGGTTGTTAGCCATAATTGGTGGTGCCCTCATACCCAAAATTGGTCATGTACCATCCACATTTTCTTTACTAATAAATGCCTCCTATACCTACACCCCATAGATGAAGGATTTGGCCTTCTCATCGATGTCAAATTTGCTCTCATGGTCGTCGGAGGTCACTATAACAAAATCCAATCGTGTTATGATCCTCGTCTGTCGATGGTGATGTGTCATCGTCTCATCCTTGCGTGAGAGTTTTCCACCGGATGGACGTTTGTCGACGTTTGAATCAACTGAACACCTTTTGAATAAGTATCTAAATATTCGACGACGTTTATAGGGAAAAACATCGACGGCTTAAGAGGCGCATTTCACTCTAGGGGAGTCGTTCGATAATATTCTGTTTTCTGTCCCATGATCATCATCCTTGACCGAAATACGATTATTTCATTCCATCTTCTACCTGATATCAGCCATCACCAAAATTCCATATGCCGTCCAAAATTTTCACCGGTGGCGGCTCTCATACCCTTTTCCGTGTGGGGCGCAACGCCTCTTACTTATGTACTTCATGCATTTTCTCTAAAAAAATGCCACGAACGCAGTGATCGTCACCACTTTTTACTTGATAATTTGTATGTCATCCAATTTTTTCATGGACCGACCCTCTCATATTTTTTTGTACCAGTGACCGCTATCCTTCTCCGGTTGTCTAGCCGTCGGTACAACGAGCGCCTAGGGGGAATAGTGCCTTCTATGTAGTCATGCATTTTGTCGCACGAGGGCATCCGTCGTCATCGCTTTTACTCGACGATAGATGCTCGTAATTGAGGCTAGGGGTGAGGGGGGTTGCGGTGGGGAGGGCAGATGGAGGTTGTTGGCCACAAATTGGTGTCGCCCTCCTACCCAAAACTGCCCGCGTACCATCTACAAGATCTTCATGATAAATGTGTCCTATACTTACACCCATGACCGATGAAAGCTTTGTCCTTCTCGTTGATGCCTTATTTTGCCGTCGTGGTCGTCGGAGGTCGCCATAACATAATCCATGCATGCCCGCCGATGTTTGAATCGACCGAACACCTTTGGAGTAAGCATCTATATATCACGCGACCTTTAGAGGGAAAAATATCGACAGCTCGAGAGGCGCACTTTCACTCTGGCGCAATCGTTCGATAATGTGCCAACCTTGCCATCCTTAAATACGTGGCACTACACATAAGTGGTCGATAGAAGAGTACATGAAACACATATAGCATCAGTAGAGATCATATACTCATATTAGAGTATGGCAACATCCAGACCTCCCGATGAATGATACTCCCTCCGTAAACTAATATAAGAGCATTTAGAATACTAAAGTAGTGATCTAAACACTCTTATATTAGTTTACAAAGAGAGTACATAGCGTGCTCACCTGAACTAAAATCAGATGCCACTCGCCCGAAGCAAATCAATCCTTGTAGTACCACCTCCACCAGGAGAAGAAAACCATCCCCACCCTAAACGCATCGCATCGCGCCGCCCCACACCTCCAGGGTACACCCAGCATTTCCAATCCATCAGATCAAAAAAAAAAGGGCGACACAAAAAGAAAGAAAAGAAAACGTAGAACCCAACCGAAAAGCAGCGAAAAGCGGCAGCGCGGGCCCCGCCGCACCAGCCCACGCATCCGCGGCCGCGCCGCAGCGCACCGCACAGCGAGCGCCACCCCCATCCCAACTGTCGCCACGCATCTCCCGACGCACCCGAGCCCACAGCCCAACTCCCCGCCAAAAACTTGGCCAGTCAACACGAG